CATTCTGAGTGGTTGCAGTCCCTTCTGGCCCTGCAAGGCCAGGAGAGTGGACATAGCTCTCAGAGGCTGCTGAGAGTGAGGCAGGACGGAGGCTGGCAAGGGGCCTCCTTGGTGGGGGGGGCGCTCATCGGCCCCCAGGTGCTCACAGATTGGGCACCTGCATGAAGCAGGCTGGGTGGGGCGAGAGAGTGGTGGGACTTGTGGGAAGTGGGGAGACTGCTTTTTCTCAGGGGACAGCTGCTTGGCACCCATCCATTGTCACCACATAGGAATGTGGGCCCCATGTGGTGACATATTATGATTTTCTCAAGAGAAGCCAGAAATTTGAATTTTTTTTGAGAGCTCCTGATATTGTAAAATAATAATCATCATCCTTGTGCAGGCCAAGCAAAATATGTCTGTGAGCCAGAGGTAGCTCATGAACTTTCAGTTTGCACCCTCTGGGTGGGAGTTTGAGGTAGGTGTGAGTTTGTCTTGGGGGCTGTAGAAAGGGAAAGTTGAATGTTACTTTTCTGACTTAATAGAAATCCCTGATGAGACTCAGTCTTTTCTTCTTTTGTTTTTAACCTCACATGCGCTGAACTGATTGATCACTATCCTTGTTCGTGATAAGCTCTCATCATTGATTCAAGTGTGTTATTATTCACTCCTTCATTCAAAATAATGCATTCAGTACCTGACCTCACCCCTGAATTTGAAAACTAAGATCTTGATAATGCCCTACACCCACCTGTGGGCTCCTCCTTCACCCCATCTCTCTGCCTCCTCTGACCAAGGTAACCATGGTTCCATACCCTATCCATATTCATCACTCTCTTGCTTTCCTTTTTAGATGGTTTTATCTCATCTATAGGTTTTATAAAGAGCCTGTCCCTCCAACCCCCACCCCCATCCCCCATCCCTCCATCCCCCATCCCCCATCCCTCCATCCCCCCATCCTCTATCTGTTGGCTTTAGCTGGGATTTAACTTTATAAAAAGAATATTATACTGTATGTAATCTTTTGGGGCTTATTATTTTCAACTAATAGATAATAAGATGTAGTTCACTTGTTTTGACTCTTGTGTAATATTACCTTCTGAGAATATTCTACAGCATATTCATCCATTCTCTTGTCCATGGGAACTTGTCTGTTTCCAGGTTATATGAATGGGGCTGCCATTAGCTTTTGTGTACATGTTCCCTGGTGCCCACGAGCAAGACTTTTGCCATGTAGGAGTGGAGTTGCTGGGCCATAGGGTAACAGGAATGTTCAATCTTGAGAGTCAGTGGCAAAGTGTGTCCAATGAGGTTGCACCAATTTATGCTCCCACAGTCAATGCCTGAGAGATCTTGTGATCCACATCCTAACACCTGGTATTGTCCAACTTCCACATTGTTGGTAACTGAGTGGCTGTAATTATTATGGATTTGAATTGCATTTCTGTTATCACTAGTGAGGTGAGGCTGAACACCTTTTTTATGTTTACCGGCCATATTTTTTGTGGTTCATGTTTTCTGTCCATTTTTCCATTGTATCATCTGTGCTTTTCTTACTGATTTCTAGGAGTTCTTTGTACGTTGTTGTTATTAATCCTTTACTGGTTGCATTTTGTAAGTCTCTTTTCACTTTCTTTATGGTAGCTTTTGACAAACAAATGCTCTTCATTATACTTGGTCACCATCATCCATCTCCTCTCTTATAGTTACCACTTTTGGGCGTTATTTAAGAAATCCTCCCCAACTTCAAAATCTAAAAGATAATCACCCATATTTTCTAAGATTATCACTTATTGATAAGAGTATTACTTATCACTTGCCTCTTTAAAAAAAATCAAGTGCAGGGAACAAATCTGATTTTCATTGGGTTTCTGCGAGTTGGTGGCACATTAGACTTGGTGTAGAGTCATGTTCTCTGACTTGATATATATTTTTAGTGCTCCGTGGTTCTTTGTCATTTAAAAGGGGTCCCTGCTGGTGTTGTGTTCGGACTTGACCTCATGTTGTGTCTGCAGGCACAAGAGAGGGTGGGTCCTTCCTATAGGTCATGGGTTTTCCATGCATTTGTGGGCACCTGGTAAAGATTTTTCCTGGCAAAAGAAGGCAGGGAGGCCTGAGGGGCAGCAGTCCCACCGTATGGCCAGGGTGACTGAAGTTCCCCCAAGCGCTGGGCCGCTCCCACTGCTGCATCACTCACTGCAAAGAAAGCAAAAGTGTTCTGAAGCAGGAGGCTGCTGAGCGGATGTGTGCCCGCACATGTGAGCCTCTTGCCGCTTGTTATCCAGAAAAAGCAGGGGGTGCACCCTCTGAAATGCTGGCCACATGGATGCCTGATGCCATCTGATATGGGGACGAGCCTGTGTGGGGAAGCAGTGCAGAGATAAGCAGGAATTAGACCCTCACCGGCCAGTGTCAAGGAGCCCCTTAGCCACAAGCTCAGCTCACAGATGGCTCACTTCGTCATATTCCAACCAAGCCCAGTCTTGATCGGTCAGACAGAGCTCTGTTTTTTGGGTCAGAGCCGTAGTTAGGAATGTGGGCTTGACACAGAACTGAAAGTCAGAATGCCACTGCCTCTGGTCACGTCACCTCCTGTCACTTCTCTGAGGACTCCTGTCCTTCCTGCAAAGCTTTGCCCTGAAATGCTGCCCGGAGGACACATATGGGTCGGCACCACGGGGTGCTGCCAACCAGGGGCAGCCCTTATCACGACTGCAGAACGCAGGGCCGCTCCCCTGGGTCTGGGGTGTGGCCCACTCTCTCCAACATGCCTGCTCCCCTTGCCCTCTTCCTGCCCACCCCCCCCCCACGCAATCTCCTGTTGGGGTGGACTTTGCCCTGCCATCACTTCCCTCCTCTCCCCTCCTGCCTTCTGTTTTGGTGTTATTTGCAACGATGACCCATACTTCCACAGTCCCTTCTAGCTAACTGGGTAGTCTTCACAGCCTGGGGCCAGAGCTCCTGAATCACCTGCAGTCCCTTCTTCTCAAATCAAAATATTCATCTTTGTCCTCATACCTGAGCCCCTGTCTGCCGTGGACTCGGACCAAAATCCAAGGGAAAAGGCGGTTTGGGTGGTGAGCCCCATCCCATGGTTTCCATTCTGGGTGGGTGCTTGTTCTTCCTGGCTTGCATACATCCCATAAGATTCAATGCAGCCTGCCCATTCTTTGTCGCCATCTCGGAATGCCACATGCGGGACCTCAGGGAGCATGTGTGGAGGTCTTTGTCCATCTGCTTTCGGGGTGCACAGGTGCAGCCTTCACTTCTCCTTCCTTTGAGTGCAGGGCACTGAATCAGCAGGGTCCACGGTCAGAGGGATTTGTTTTTGCCTCTCATGGATCCCAGTTCCACCTTGGCCTTGGTCTGACTTCCACTGGCCTCTGTTGGGAGGTTAAGCCCAGCCTCACCCATGACTTCCTTCCTGGAAATCCTTGGTCCTGAGGAGAACTCATAGTGTTGTTCTTCCGAGTGTGAGGTGCTGCCCATCTGCGCAGAATGCAGGCGGCCCAGGAGAGCAGTTCCCCAGAGCACATGTGCCTGCTTCTTTCCTGAGTGCATCATGCCGGTCCACTTGCTTCCGGCAGAAACCTGGCTGACTGCACATATGCAGAGGGGTCTGGTTTTGGGGATGGCAAACGGCTCCCCAGCTCCTGGTCCCTGGAGTGATCTGGCACAATGTTAGCCCACCACTCACACATCGTTTCCATTCAACCTGGAGTCGGCCCAGGGAGGTGCCTCTTTCTTTTCAAGCACAGAGGGCCTGTATTTAACATGACATTAGACACCTGCAGTATTGAGTTAGCTATAAAAGAGATGATCCTGTGGACAGAATCACTATCCACCAGACAAATGATTAAATTTACAGCTTGATTGGTGTTGATCAATAGAAATGAAATATGAACAACTAAATGTATCCGCAAGAAACAGCAACCGGAGGTGGTCTCCCCATGGTCATCACAGCTCCACACTGGGGGTCTCTGCACTCGTGGGGTCCTCCAAATGCACCTTCCTTTCCTCTCACCCCTCAGGGGAATACAGCAGTGCCTTCCCGAATCAGGGGAGATAGGCTGGACTGAGCCGCACTGGTGACTCCAAAGCTCAGTGGCTTCAAACAGCCCATGCTGCTGCATTTCCAGGGCTGGCCAGCAGAGGGGGCTCCGTGCACCATAGAAACTCAGGACCCAGGAGAGCTGAGTATTTAGTCTTGGAAAATTGCGTCTTCCTATCAGAGGAAGAGAGGGCTTTGAAGGGTCTTGTACTAGCAGTCAAATGCCTGAGACTGGAAGTCATGTATACTCTTCTGTTCACCAGAAGAGTATACATGACAACTCTCCCTGGTCAGAGTTGGTTACACAGCCCCACCTGCTACAGAATGTGAGAAGATGAGGCATATCAAGCACAAACACACTTAAAAAAAAAAAAAACAAAACTGGCTAGATTAACAAATCCAGTGGGTTCAGGGCTATTTAATGCGTTCCTATCATGGAATGAATAACAGCCCCCATGTCATGTCTATTTCTTTAAGTCATGTGGCACCTACCCAGGCACATGTATTTCAGAGGCTCAAAGCTATCTCTCCATGTATATCGAAAGAACATGAGCTGCCCCATCTTCTCCCAGAATTCCTTTCTCAAACTAGCAGTGAATCCAATAACAGCAAATACACCTGGATGTGAAATTGTCATCTCCACATGGGCAAATGCATTGCACAACTACTTTAAACCCAAAGGGGAAAAGTGGTTCCCGATTTAAATTACAGTCTTCCCAGTGACCTTCTTCCCTTCTGAACCCAGGCTGGGGGCTCCTCTTGCTCCTGGCTCTGTGAGGTCCCCTGTGCCTCGTGGAGGCTGGGAAACACTCCTGTCTGCTCTGTGCAGCCTTGGCCAGGTTCCCTGGGCGGGCCTCCCTGCTGGGCTGCATCCCGCCAAGTGTGCAGCTGGCTTCAAAGAACAGGAGGTCATGGCATTCGGGCTGGTCTAGGCTCCAGGGCTTAACATTCATACATGCCTGCAGAAAGGTTATTTCAAAGTTGTTTTTTATTCAATTGTTATCAGCAATATACAATACAGTTTATAAACAAGTGTCTGACCTTGTTTCCAATCTTTATTTAAAAATAAATATTATTGACAGTGAATTTTAATTATGATAAGATGTATCTTTTCTTAATCAAAATGTCTCAAAAGAAATAATTTACTTTAATAAAAAAAAGGAAAGCCCCCAAAGAAAAAAAGTAAATAAAAAATCCCTAAACACAATAATCTACTAAAAATATTTTGCTTTGTCAAAAAGGCTTTGACCCAACATTTTTACATAGTATCCTAAAGATAACTGCTCAACAGTTCGTGCAAAATGAAGACTTGGAGGAAAAGTTTAGAAAAGAAAAATACATTGAAGTAATCACCGATCCCATGCATACCGCATGGTCCAAATTCCATCTTATTTGGAAACTAGATGCATTATTTTAGGTGTTCTACGTTTGTGTAACCTCCCCCAAAAATATGATTTATTTATTTTCCACGTGGACTTTGTCATGCTTCTCTCAGTCTCTCTGTGTCCGTTTGTAGCTGCAGGCCTCACACCGGGTCCGGGCAGGCCGTGCGGGGCCGCTGAGGTGCGCAGGATGGCTGTGGCCGTCAGTGCCCCACCAGCAGGCGAAGGAACTTATGCAGAGCTAGCAGGAGCAGGGGCAGGAGTGGGTCTGTGGCGGAGCTAGGGCCAGTGCCTGCAGGGGATGAGAAAATGGGCACGGTGAACGCCTGATTCACGAGAACCTAGTGGCCACGAGCAGACCAGGGAGAAGCTCGGCACTCAGCTGATGCCTGGTGGTGCTTCCATACCATGATGGGGCATTTTGCTGTTTGTTATTTACAGACGACACATTTTAGGAGCCTACTCTGGTCAGATACAAGGTACCCCCCCTCGCCTGAAGCTGGGTGTGCTAGATTGCACTTCTTAAGTCCACGTTGTTATTTTAGCTAAATCGAAAGACAACATGCTCCCCCATCACTCCCCTCAATGTATACTGCAATGTGCCCTCTGCATTTAAGCCCCAGCTTCCCCCCTCCTCCAGGGAGACCCCACGATTGCACACGACTCCAACCCCTTCAACCCCTGGCTGAACTGCACAGTTTAGTATTCACAAATGCTGTCTTAGGCATCCTGATGTTTCTGGGTCTTCTTTCCATGTACTGTCAGCGGAGCCCTTGGGGTCAAATGGGGAGCTCGGAAATCACAGGTTGGTGGAGGTGAGTGGGCTAGGTTCCTGGAAGAGTGACCCTTGCACTGTTCTAGTGGGAGGTCACTTCCATCTGCTTCTCCAGTGCTGCCATTAACTTGGGCCCCTGGCCTACCACCGGAATGGTGCCGTGTGTCTTCATTCTGCCTTCCCTGGGCGGCCTGCCCTGGCTTCCTGCCCGTCTGTCATCAGGGCCTGCATCTCCTGGAAGGCCCCTGGTATAGCCTGGGGAAGGCCTACCTGTGATCCCCAGGCTTCCCCTGGAAGGTGGGATGCTCTAGGGGTCCTGAAAGGAGCCAGTGTAGACATGCTGCCCAAACCCTGGGGACGTCACTGCCAGCTTGCTTAGGGTCGGGCTGTGTGGATGTCAAGTTTCTAGCCCTACCCTGCTCACTTGCAGCCTCTGGAGGCCTCTCTCCTCCCTTCACTCCAGCCAGCCCCCTGGGCTGGAGCTCTGCGCCAGGTTGGAGAGAGGCAGGAGGCCCTTCCCTGGGCCAAGCAGGTGGTACCAGAGGCCGTGGCCAAGCAGGTGGTACAGGGGCGTGGCCAAGCAGATGGTACAGAGGCCGTGGCCAAGCAGGTGGTACAGAGGCGTGGCCAAGCAGGTGGTACAGAGGCGTGGCCAAGCAGGTGGTACAGGGGCGTGGCGAAGCAGGTGGAATGGAGGCCGTGGCCAAGCAGGTGGTACAGAGGCCGTGGCCGCCTCTACTTTGCTGCCCGCAGGAGCTGCAACCAGGCAGGCTGGGTTTCTGGCCTCCCTGACCAGGTGGGGCCTGAGCCCAAGACCTGCCCCTCTCCAGCTGGAAGAGCCAGTAATCTATCCAAGGTGTTTCCCCCAGGCCCGAAGCCATCTTGCTCTGGCAATCACTGTGTCCTGGGCCTGGTCTCCCTTTGTAGAAGGAGAGGGATGGATCGATGATCCAGGGGCCATCCCTGCGGCAGACTCCAGGATCCCATCTGCCCATTTTGGGAAACACGGGCTGTGTTCAAACATCTGAATGGAAAGGGGGCGGAGGCCGCCTGCGGTGCGCGTCTCGCCTACCAGGACTTGTTTGCAAGCCCAGTCTGAGGCCCCGCGGAGAAGCACTAGGACCCGACAAATCCAAGTGTGCTAACCGTTCTCTTTAGACACTGGTTTTCCACACTGGTGTCACTGCTGGCTGTCCTTGCAGCCTGGCCGGGGCTGACATATGCAGCTGGCCATCCATCAGTGAGGAGGCCCAGGGTATGGGAGGCCCTCCAAAGACCTGGGTCCTCCTTTGCTGCTTTTCGCTGTTGCACATCACTGGAAAGGAGGAGGGTGGGTGTGGAGACGGACGTGCTGATGGATGGCCAGGTGCCTGGGCTCAGGCACACGGAAACTGGGGGTGTAGCTAGCAGAGAGCTGCCTCATGGGCACCCGGGACACATGTGGCCGGACTGGGCCCATTGGCCTCCAGATCTCCTGGCTCAGATCTTTGTGCTCCTGCAAACCCTGACAGTCAGGCAGATGCAGGCGGGGCAGAAGCAGGCGCGTGAGGCATTGGAAAGCAGATGGATGTGCGCAGTGGAACACAGACCCGCAAGGTACGCAGGGGCAGGAGAAATGGCAATTGGGCTCGTGGGCCAGGCAAGGTCCATGTGGCCCATGGGACCATGTGCCTAGGAGATGCGAGGAGGAGTTTTAATTTTCCTCTAAATACTGCTAACTGGCCTTTCCCAGTGTCACACTATCACCTCCTCCCATTGCAAAGTTTTAAGGTTGCACAAGACTTTCTGAAGACCCTGGAGTAAAACAATCAGCTTGCCACTCTATGCTGGGCCAGAGTGAGAGCAGCAGGGGCTGGAGGACTGAGATGGTGGCCCCCAGAGGCCAGCGCCTGGGCAGGGCAGATGCCAGGGTCTGTGCTGTCTCTGCTGCTGGATGTCTGTGGGGGCGACAGCCAGGGTTTGGCTCCTGGGTGACATGTCGTCTGCTCCCTGGCCCAGGGTCACCATAGAGGGGGCCAAGGGAGGTGGTGTGGGGCAGTGGGCTGGCACCTGGGAGAGAGGCTTCCAAGCCAGCCTGCTGTGTGACCTGGGGTAACACCCTGTACCTCTCTGGGTCTTGTGCCACACTCCATGAAGTGGGGATGTGCATATGCATGGCTCCATACAGTTAACAGGTGCTTGGCATGTCTTACCAGGTTGGGGTCCAGATCCAGCAAGATCATAGCGGTAGGTTGCAAAGTAGGCCATGATCTCCTTCCCTCATCTCTGCGTTCCCAGCATTCACACCCTATGGTAGCGTCCACCGACACGGACTCTGGGCTTGGTCACATGACTTCCTTTGGCCCGTGAATATTATCACGTGTGAGGCAAGCAAAGGCTTGAACCATGCTGTACACGGAGGCTTGCCTTTCTTCTGTGCCCCTTGCAGCCTGTGAACAAGTCTGGGCCAGCCTGCTGCAGGACAAAAGCCGTGAAATGTGCCGGCTGGGCCCGTCTGGTCCAATCAGCCCTCAGTTGAAAGGGCAACTGTCCACAGAAGCGCGAGTGAGCCCAGATGAGACTGGCGGAGGGGCTGGCCCAACTGACCTGCAGGATCATGAGCTAAATGAATGGTTCTCACATTACACCAAACCCACTGAATTTCTGAGTGCCCTGTTACACAGTCATGTAAACAACAGCGCCTCAAACCCAGGCTGTTGCTTTGCAGATAGATCTTAGCGAAAAGGGTGACATAACTACTTTTCTAAAAAGTGTTGGAGAAAAAAGAATGTGGGGGGTTGTCCTTCTCCCAAGAGGAAAATTTTCCAAGATAGAAGGAGCAGGGCAAATGATCTCCCCAGCCATTTCTCCCAAGACAGATGGACATCCCCGGATTTTTGGTGGGAGAAGGACCTAGGGTTTGGAACGTCTTGCCAGTCTCTCACTGGATGTCCAAACACACTCTGGGCTTCCCGAGTGAAATCAGGGCAAGACTGACTTCCAGGCTGGCCCTGGAGGAAGAGGGCTCTTTCCACCAGAAGGGGGGGTTCAGGAGTCTGGCAGTCCCGCGTCCTCTCCCCAGGTGCCGACTCCTCGGGAGGGGACACTGATGGTGTGCTCTCGGGCCCCCTCAGCGGCTGCTGCCCCCGCCCCTGTCTTCACTTTCCTGGAGTGAGCCAGGACGGCCCACTGTTGTCTGGGGCTCACCTTGACCCTCCAGGGCAGGGCCGGACTGGTGCCTTTGGCTCAGCTGAGGTAGGATCTCCTGTGCTGGCCTCTTATTAGGGAGCATGGAGGTGGCTGTGTTCCAGGGGGCATGAGGCTGCTGTGTCCACTGGATGCTAATGGTCCCTGTATCTCTTTCCTCCCTTCCTAAGGAGTACCAGGAATAGCACTGGATCACACAGAAGTTTATTTGTCATGATTAAGCTGGAAAATCAGGCTGGAAAATCGGAGGTGAGGGAAGTCCTCTGATGGAATAGTGGCTGATTCATTCTTTAATTTAACAAGTATCACCGTTTTGCTAATCATTCTTAAAGAAATCAAAGCTGCTTTTGCTCTGTGAATATTAACTTTTATCCTTGAGATGGTGAACGGGATAAGATGCCTGCTGGAGCCATTTAAGAGGCTCCCAAAGAACCCAGTGGGGGCACGGAGCCCCCATGGGCACAGAGAAGGCGCCAGCCAAGCGGCTTCTGACCGGGAAGTCTTCCGTTGACACGACAATGGCAGAATGCCAAAAGCCCTGTCAGAAAACAACATGGGATCTCTGAGGCCATCAGAGGCCTCAGGATAAAAGTGAGGGAGGTTTTGCTTGGGTCATCCCCTGGGACCCTTGCCCTGTCTACGCCGTCTGGAGGCTGAGCCCATGAGTCAGGCTCCTAGTGGGGGAGGGCCTGCAGAGAAAGCAGCAGGACACCCCCACTCTGTCCTGGACTCCCACAGGCTTGGGAGCACGGAGGGGACGGTCCCTGCTCTGTGGGCATCAGGAGCATGGTGAGCTGCTCCTCGCTGGCCAGTGGGGACGGCTAGCCAGGGCAGCCACAGTCTTCCCTCCACATGCCCTGCTGGCCCTTCCCAGGTTCCCGGGCTGTGGGGGAGGGGGGAACTCCTGCCCTGACGTGGTCTGTAGCACCTGCCACACTGGCCACGTGCCGGAGATAGCTGCAGGCCTGCTTGCGGGCTGGTCCGGGATAGGGCTTTGCAAACGATGCCCCTCAGAGTCCGGTGTTGCTCAGAGGCCGTTTTTGTTTTTGTGATAGAGTAAAAACTAAAATTTAGTTCAGGTTTGCAAAGAGTAAATACGATTCAGATACGTTTGAGGCCTGGCTCTACCTACAAAAACAGCTAACAGGCTGGTTCTGGCTCTCACGGGCTACGCTACATTGTGGAGTTTCACTATGAGGGCTGACGGCACCGTGCTGGGCCTTTCCCCCTCCAGCACTGCACTAGAATATTATGTTGACTACAGGTAGCCAGAGAACTGGTCCAGTCTCTACGGACAAGGCATTCCACCAGTGAGCTAGGGGATCCTAACG